ATCTATTAATAGATAACACAACTATTCTAACTATTCAGGCTGAAACTGATTTTTAATAAATTACTAAATTTTAATATGAAATATTATTTTACTAGAAGTTATTTACTAGTTTTGCAATCGCAGAATCAAATAATTAAACTTATATTATTTGTACAAAAAACTAGAAAATACTAATTAGGTGGCAACATAATACGCCTTGTAAAAGATATTTTTAGAAATCAATTATCATAGAAGTTCACTGCTCTGAAGCTAAACTTAGAAATCTTTAAACTGGTAAGTTGATTAGGAATTTAAACCCTAAATTTGGATTAAGATAATTTTCTTAAGATCAGACATCAATCTATTTATTCTAAATTGTTAAAACACATCTAAAAATCAAGAACAAAGGGAAAAAAGTACACAATACTTTTTCTAGATTTGATATTTTGAGGGGAGTTTATAAAAAACTAAACATCAACATAGATCCTTTTAACAATTTATAAACCTTAAACAATGATTTTTATATAGATTATGAAGATTTAGAAGAAGTTGATATTGATGAAGAAAAAATTAAGAAATTGAGATACTTCCGTATCTCCTATTTAACTTAATGAATGGAATAATTAAAGAATTTGATTTAAATATTCAGTTAATTATAAAGATAATCTAGATATTACATTATTATTTTTTTTTATTATTTACATGACTTAATCATTAACTTGTATGAATGGTCTTCTTTACAGTAAGTTCCACACTCTCTTTGCATTAATTGATCAGCGCGTCCTTCCATTTTTTAAAGAGTCTCTTACAAAAATTAACAAATTGCAATATTGAATCCATAATGAAGTATTCTATTCCCATAAAACTTTTTTTCCAGAATTAACTTTGTAAATTCATTCAGTGCTATATTCCTATCCTCATCATCCTTTATAAAACAAATCCAAACTCTCATCTCCACCATGATCCATGCGCGATGTCATCATCTTTTTCATTTACATTCTCACCAGTGTTTATCTACACTCCTTAACTTCAATAGACCAGGTTATTCCATATCCAGCCACAGCCACAAATTCATCCTAAAGATCAAATATATCAGATTTATTTTTAAATTTCTCTACAACTTTCCTTCTATTTTACTTCTCATATTCATACTTTCCGCTATTTGTTCTTCTTATCTACTCCAAGCCATTCTCTTCTTCTTTAACTAAACTACTTCTCACTTTTCCTTGAATATATTATCATACCTATGTTATCCGCTGTCCCAAAACTAGAAGAACATTTCTTAGCCTTAGTAACAATTTGATAATTAGCGTTCTCCTGATTGTTTGAATACAGAATTAATTAGTGTGTTGATGTAAAACTCAAGCTAATATGAAATTTTATATCCCTTTTCCTCTTAAAATTTGTATGCTATTTTTAACAATATATAGATTAAAAAGTTAATGAATAATTTAATAATTCTAAAACAGAAAAATCAATAAATTAAAATATTAAGCTTTAAAGTGTATTTTATTTATTCTCACTTTTTTTATTTTTTTTGCATTTTCATAAACCAAAAGATATATAGGTATAGCATCATATTTACAGTATTTGGATGAAAAAATGAGATGCTGTTTTTTAAAAATACTGTCGGAATTCTCAATTCTAAGATTCAAAGTTTCGAACTAAATATAGCAATATTTCAATCATCCAATATAATTCCTTTATTAGATAAAAATTTACTTGTTTTTTCGTAATGATAATTTTAAATGAAGTTTTGAATATCCTACATACAATAGCTAGCTTGACAACATTAATATATCTTTTATTACATTCTAAGAATTGTGTCCATAAAAAATAGTATCATTTAAAAAAAAATAAAACACATCCTTTTCTTCACAGTCACTTCAATCCTTGTTTGATTATTAAAGGTGCTCTTAATATAAACTGTTCGATCAACTTCTAAGAACAATCCACTCTAATTTAGATTCTGTACATCAGATTGCAATATCCATATCCTTTCACTTTCTTATATAGTCAATATGTTAGTAGTCTTTATAAAAATGTTCTACCAAAGACTATTCTTCCTTATCTTCTTTTATCAAATGAAGAATGTGTTAACTCATATCCTAATTAAGAGTTCGTAAGTTGAGTTTCATCCTAATTCTTTCGATAGGGGTGATCTTGAATGCAAATTTTCCAAGTTCAAATTTGAAATTTAATCTAAATCATATTTTTTGTATTTCATTTTCTGATCAACTTAAATGCATTTGTTAAATTTGTCTTCTATAAATTTTTTTAAGATAGAGCGACTTTTAAATATTAACCTTATGATCCAAACATTTGTTATAAATTAAAATTAAAAAAAATTCTACATTAGATTACTAATCTAAATTTAAAAAATAAAATACCCATAAGAAATATACTCCAAATATAATAAAGCATTCAATATTAGCATAAAACTTATACAAATTTTAATATCCATATTATAAATACCTTATTCTTCTAGTCGATTACAGTTGTTATAAAGAATTATCAACAATAAAGAAAGATTTGAAATGCTCCGCAAACTTCCACAACAAAAAAATTTGAATATTGAAAAATATATATTTTATGAAGGAGAGCTAGAAAATATTTATAATGAGAATAAAATTATATCTTGGCCTTTATAGAGTAATCGAATTTAGGAAGTAGACAATTATGAGTTATAGAATGCAGTATATTTTATTTACCTCTATAAAAAGTATATATATTATAATCATCAATAAACCATTTAATAACTCCATTATTACAACTATCAAATGAAATTTCAATTATGAGAATGAATCAATTTTTGAAGATTTTAAAAATTCTTCAATAAGTTATATAAAATATAATTGAGATTAAAGAAATTATAAAGTGTTAATAATTTGAATTGATTATTCATTTTTTTAATTATTAATCAACCTTATTTTCATAACAAAATTTTTATAATGGATTTTCGTAATATTAAAGAATTTTCATTCTTTCCTAAGTTTATCTTTTTTTTAAGTGGATATAATACGTTTTTTAGACTGAATCCAAAAGGTCAACAGTTAAAGTAAAGACTAATAAAAAACAAAAGAGTGCTATATGAAACCATCCATATAACATAAATTGATCATGATTTAGTTCCAAACTGTAAACTAAAAATGACCCTGTTATAATTAATAATATCACTTCTCTGCATATTAATTTGGCTATTTCATAATTTGATTTTATTGGTTTAACTAGGATCAAGTAGTGTAAATAAAAAAATGATTGCATCGAAAGTAAAACTGATTAAGCTTAAGGGTATTCTATGAATATAGTTATAATTATAATATAACAAGCAGATCTATAAATTTGGAATGGCTTGAAATTAGCAGCCCAAAATCCAGTTTTTGAATCTTAAAAAAAATATTTCCATTTTTATTTATTCTTAATTTCAGTAGTTGTTATGGAAAGCAATCTAACAAAAATTGAAATCAGAAACAATAAACTCCCCAATGCTGCAACACTATTAATTATTTCGAAAATTGAATTAAAAGAGTACTCAGGAAATTGTAAAAGTGTACTAAATAATTATTATTGAAGTGTCGAGTAAAATAGTTGAAAAACTCCTGAAGAGAAATAATAGTTTTTAAGTTTTGAACTTTATAATTGGATTTTTTGCTAGAATATTGAGATTAGTCGTAGAGTTTTAATCTTTTCTTCATTCTTTTTAAAGTAATATCCTACCCAATCTGATATTTTGCTTGAAGATATTAGACAACAAATAATATAGGTAATTAATGAAGCAAAGTAAGAAAAGTAACATCCTTTCGCATTCATTAAATACATCTAATTAATACCATTTGTTTTATTGGACTTTTGCGATTTCTTTTTTAAATATGGGATGGTGCCTCCATTTAGTTAAGTCATAAGTTCATCAACTCTTAAAATCTCTAAAATAGGTTATAAGGAAATTTTAGTATAAGTTTCTAGAAACTGACTTAAATGAGGAGGAAATTTATATTCCATATATCTGATATAAGATAAAGACTATAATAAATCTAATAAATTAAAAAATACAACATAGTTTCCAGTTACGAATAGTAAACCTGCAATACTTACTGTAGAATATACTATGGCATCATTCATCTTAATAACTTAATTGACTCTATTTTACGTAGCTTTTGATAACACAAAAGGGGTTCCAAGATGTAATTATTTTGAATTACTTTTTAATTACATATCATAATAATTATAAATAGAGAATTACTGGATGTTGATTTGTAGGATTGGATCAGTGACAGGTTCCAAAAATTAAACAGAAATTTAATACTTAGGTTGGTTTAATTAAGCGGTAATGTTTATTATTGGAAGTAATGATAATTAATACTAACTTATTGGAGTGATTGTAAATTCTACAATTTGTTCAAAGTATTGATAGGATAATAAGTAAACATCTTAAGAGAAACCTAATTCAATAATTTTTGTTTGATTCTAGATTTCTGACAGTAGGATTAATTCAAGATTTGGTTGTTAAACAAAATTACAAATACTGAACGAATTGTTCTAATTGATGCATTTATAGGAATCTTCTTCAAAACATAAAGCTGAACATCCATCACCTCCTTCATTATTTCCATCATCACACTATTCAAAAAGACTATTAAGTATTCCATTACCACATAAATTAACACATTGATAATTGATAAATTCTTAATTCTCATTACATGAAATAATTACTAAATCATTATTATTCTCCTCCTCCTTAGGCTCTAAATCACTATTGGGTTATTTTGCTTAACATATGTAAGTATGAGTATCTAAAATGTAATTTAATTCATCGCATTATACACATTTATTGTCCTTCTAACATTTTATACATCCGAAGGAACATTTGAATTGACAATCATAACAACCATCATATGGAATATCGTTTCCATCATCGCATTATTCAAAGGGTGGGGTAATAATATTGTCTCCGCAGATTGATAAGCATTTCCCATTCTTCATTTAGAAAGGATGCTTACATATCTCACAATTTTGAAACTAATTACAAATTAGGCAATCATTATCACATTAATAATTGCAATCAGTACAATTTGGATCTTCGGGATCATCGCATTATTCATTAGAAAAGATTGCTAATTACCCGTCTCCACAGATTTATTTACATTAATAATCTTGAAGTTGCCAACCATTTTGACAATTATAGCATTTATTTTCAGAACAAAATAAACACTCTATTTGACAACTTTTTAAGCATTTGTAACAGCCATCAAATTGGATTCTATTCCCATCATCGCAAACTTCTTCTTATATTAATATTCCATCCTAGCATTTAGGAATGCATTTTGTTTTATGAAAATTGAATTCATACTCTGCATGGCATTCCAAACATTTCCCAAATTACTCGACCTTACAATTATCCAAATAATCAAATTTAGAATTGTTATATTGTTATTCAAGGATTCTAATATTCAAATTTAATAGGGATTTCTATTATTAAAAATAAAATCTTTCAAATTTATCATCAAATTAGTCTTATCGACATTAATATCCTTCCAAAATTATAAAATCATGATAATCTTGGTTTTCTTAGTAATGAGTTTTTTCTAACTCATCACAGATAAATTAGCATCTACCTTCTAAAATCTGATGTTAATTTTGACAACCCAAACATTTTCCAAATTAGCAATATCTACAGTTAGATGGACAAGAATATTTGCATTTATGGCATCCATCATAAGCAACTAAATTACCATCATCACATTCTTCATCTTGAGTAATAAGAGTATCTCCACAAATAGGGATACATGATTGTGATGACTCTTCAAACTCCCATCCAACTAAACAATCTTAGCAAATTCCTTTAATACATAATCCACAACCTTCAACGCAATCGTAAATATTTGAAAAGCACCCATCAAAAGGGACAATATTCCAATCATAACATTCAACAGACCCTTTTTTAACGAATAATTAAAAATCTCTCAACCCAATATATGTTGAAAAACTAGGCGACTGATGATATTGCTTCAAATCAACAGATATTGTAATTTCTAAACTTCTACTAAAATGTTAATATTATAATAGATTAATTTCCTGAATTTAAATGTATCCACATATTTAACCATTGAATATTAATTATTTCTAAATATAATTAGTTGTAGTTACTAAAATATCGTCTACACTAATATAAATTTTAGTTGAATCAGAATTAAATATTAATAACTTTGCTTAAAAACTTATCATTTCATGTTGACCTAAATTAAAAACATTGTGCAATTTACCTCCAGATGTTTTGAGGTAATTAAATCCTAAAAAAATTATTATATACATACCATAGCATTCTCCAATTTCATTTACTCCAACAAATCCAGATTACCATCCTTCTTCTGTTTTCACAACAGAGAATGTTTTTTCATTAAATAATGTCAAAAATAACTCTTAATTAAAACATTCCTATGAATTACAATAATTGCATCCATTTAAGCATTCATTAATTGATAATTTAAATTCTGCTACTCCCCAATGATTATTTTCAGCGATCATTGAGATTGTGATAGAAGGACTTGAATGCTAAAGAGTAATAGTAATAAGGAAAAAAAGGTAACTTGAATTACAATTGTATTATACACCTGAATTATTAGAGTTATCATAATTCTATTAGTGGTAGATTTTATCATCTACATAAACAATCAATTGACGTGGCATGTTATTATTTAATCTATTAAGAAATGAGTATATTAGTACCTCAAAAGCTTGAATTCTAATTTTACTTCATAATGAGGCTATAGCTGTAAAGTATTATAAATCAAAAATTGATATGAATCCTAGTCAATAATTAATTCTGTATAATTGCTACAATTTTACTAATTGATATTATTATTCGAATTGCCTATCATATAATAATTCCAATCTTATAAAATAGTTGATTATGTGCAATTTTATATTAGGCTTAACATTAAGAGAATAGATGCGATATTTAATAGATTGGATTATGATGTAAAGGAGTGGGTTTTTAGATCTTCTACCATAATATTTTAGAGAGAGGATATACTACGGTATATTAATAATAAACTTAAAATAATTTTCACAAAAATTCAGATAAATATATAACCAGAAATTATGTAAATTGAAAATTAGAAATTATTGAATCATTTAAGCATATTCATTACTTATAATATAAATTCAAATCAGCAGATTTAATTTATTAGACATAATTAAGTGCTAGAATTTATATCGTTAATTTGGGTAGAGTTTTTGCATCAAGAGCCTAGCAATTTTAGGGTTATTGTCTTGATAAGTTGAATTTCATCAACTGCTTCTTATGCAAATAAGATTAATTTTAAGATTTAAGTTTTTTCTCTCTTCTTTTCAAATTATTAAAATTATTATTCAAAACGAATAAGAAATAATTAGATATATTAAACTCTATAATGCTAATTCTGTCATTCCAAATCTTTCCTAAGAAGTAACTATCTTAAACACTTCGAATGTAATCAAACGAATAAAATAATAGAGTGCTTACAACTTTAAGAAATATCCTCAAATAAATCAATTAACTTGATCTTAGATTTCAAAATTAATTTTTTTATTATAAACAATTTTTGTTCACTCATTTATTACAATTAAAATTGCAAACAATTAATGTAAACATAATGCATAGTAGAAGAACTTTCAAAATTTAATCAATCAATATATATCTGATATCATTTTAGTAGAATTATATTTTCTAATCGATTGGGATAATACTAATAAGACAATATATTGAGAAGCCTAATTTTATAATAAATATTCATCAAACTCATTTTGAATGCTTGGTAGATGGGAA